AAGCCCACCATTGCATTTCCACATCATGCCCATACCAGGCTTTACAGCCTTCAGCCTCCTAGAGAGTGACATTAGTGGCAGCACAGCAGGTGGGTGACTGCTGAGGCTGGAGGGAAGCTCCATGTCTCCAGTGTTTATTTAAGAAAGCCTGCACGTGACCTGCCTCTTGCTAGCTAACAGCGGTTCCAGAACAGATCTTTTGCATTTACATTGATTGCCAAAGATGAATTACCATCTGCTGTGGTTTTAAATTAACTGGGGGCAGTTCTAAGCCAGAGAGAATGGGGAGCTAGGAAAATGGGATTGATTTTAAGCTTATTTCCATTTTGAAAGGCAGTAAGAAAAAGTAATGGGCCTAAAGGAGGGGTGTGTTCTATGAACTGTGAAGTAAAAGGCTGTAAAACTGAGAATTTGGGTGAGAAGTAAAAATTCTTTGGGAGTGCTGCTTCTGCTGGAGACCTTGGTGAACAAAATAGCATGTGAGGCATGCATACCTTGAATTTTCTTATTTCATAATCGCTATCAAAATTTTCCAGGAGGCATTTTAATATTTATGAGTTTTTGTTTTCAGTATATATATATATGTGTGTGTGTGTGTATCCCTTCTTCATTCTCCTCTGTGAATCTTGAGCATTCACACACATGTGCCTAGTGTGAGTTTTAAGCTGCCGCATCTGGGACCCGAACCATGGTCAACTACATGGGAGTCCAATGATGCAACCATTACACCATCTCCTAGTCCCAATAAAATATTTTTTTAAAAAATTATTTTATTTAGCTTTATTTATTTATTTATTTATTTATTTATTTTATTTGACTAGAGAAGGACAGAATGAGAGAGCGAGAGAGCACACATGAGAGAGAGGAAAATGAGAAAGCAAGCCACAAGGTCCGGGACTCGAACTGTGGTCGGCCATGTGGAAGTCCAATGCCTCTAACCACCATGCCACCTGCTAGCCTCCCTAGTCCCAATTTTTTTTTTCTTTTGTTTTAGAGAGATTTTTGCTTTGGGGCATGTGTACTCACTGGAGACAGAGAGAGAGAGAAAGTGAGAAATCACCCCCCAAGGGGAATGGCCGCACAGAATCTCTTCTCCATTCCCCTCTCAGGATTTAGGACATGCACGCACATACACCAAATGTGAGTTTCAGGCCACCAGGTTCAGGACTCAATCTACGCTTGGCCATGGGCAGTCTATCGCCATAACCACTACACTACTTGCTAGCCCCCAGGAGATATTTTAATGTCAGTGATTTTTGTTTTCTAGCTGCGTGTGTTCACATAATGCCAACTTCAAAGTTATGAGGTTAAAAACTGACCTGATTATGTCAAGCTCAATGTGGCTAAAATGAATTTATCTCTGACCACAGTCTGTCCTTTCCAAATTCCTGAGCTCAGTTGTGGGCTCATCCGTTCAACCTACAAGTCATGACTTCATAGAATTCTCTCATTCTCTCCCGGCACACAAAGCTGTCACTGATTATCTGCTATTTTCTTTTCTCAATTTCTCTTTAGATATTGAGGGGAAAAAGAAAATATGAAAGAGCAGCTCCTGACATCTGGGAACTGGCCTTAATATTAGTACCAATAATCTTGGCTCTCATAGCTGAGCTCTCTGCTGTTCCCTTAGACATAATCTGGTGTTCCCTTGAGCATAATCTCAGGGACCCTCAATGTCAAAAAAGGTTACTCTGACACCGTGACGAAGCAAGACAAAAACAAAACCACTGTGAAGCCTGCAAAATACCAAACAATCCCCTCTCAAAAAGATGTTTCTGCTGCTGCTTGACAAAGCAAACCTTCATCTCTGCTCTGGCCTGCTCTTTTTATAGGAAAGCCATCAAGGCACCGAATCGCAGAACTCTCCAATCTACAGTGAGCTCTCACTTCCTGACCTCTCCCCAGAATCATCCACCCAAAACCCAACTCGTATAAGGGGTTCTTTCTAACACCTTCTAAGTAAGGTGCATGGTGTGTGTTTTCTCTTGCCGGAAAGAGTAAGAAACACAACTGGCTCAATGCAGAGATGTGTTTCTGGTGGATTTGGGGAGTTGAATGTCACCACCATTCTCTCCTCTCCACTTCTAGATGAATCCTAATCTTTATCGGCAGCCTCGAATGTTGCAGCAACCATGTCATGTGTGTGTTTTCAGCTTCCAGTGTCTTCTCCACTCCTCTCGCATGCTGCCATGAGGTTGCCTCCCTACCCCCTACTGACAGATTGCAGGAGACTTTGTGCTGATCAAAAGGGACACACAAAATAGGATCTATTGACAATAGAAGCTCCAAGATGTAATGGACTGTGAAGGGCATAATACCATCACTGGGCTATTCTTTTTTTTTTTTTTTTCTTTTAAGGAGGGGGAAGAGGAAGAGGAAGGAGAGGAGGAAGGGTAGAGAAAGAGGAGATGAAGAAGGAAAGGTGAAGAAGAGGTGAGGAAGATAGGAGGAGAGGAGGTGGGGAAAGGAGGGAGAGAGCAAGGGGAATATTTTTTTTTTTTTGGAGAGATTTTAACTGTAGGGCGCGGGTGCTCGCCAGACAGACAGAGAGAGACCTAGAGACAGAAAGCGAGAAAAAAAAGCGCCGCAATCCCTTCTCCTCCATTCTCCTCTCGCGATCTTGGGCACACACACACACGCGCCCGGCGTGAGTTTTAAGCCACCGGGTCCGGGACACGAACCGCGGTCGACTACGTGGGAGTCCAGCGACATAGTCATTACGCTAACTGCTGGTTTCTAATTCTTAACCAAACTGTATAACCTCATTCTGATAACCAGAAAATGTCAGGTGAATCAATATTGAGAGAGATTCTACAAAATGACTGACCAGTGTCGTTCAGAAGTGTCAAGGTTATGAAAGGTGAATATTATGGGCTGAATTGTGTTCTCCTAAAACAGACATGCTTACGACCTAACCCCTAGAATCTCAGCATGTCAAGTTATTGGATATAGGGTTGTTACAGATGTCATTCGTTAAGATAAAGTCATATTCATTATAAAAAGATAAGTGCAAATACCGTGTGATTCCACTTATTTGTAGGGCTTTATAGAAATAAAAAGTAGAATATAGGTTATGAGGGACTGGAGAAATGGAGAAGAGTGGAGGAGCTGAGATACTGCGGGAAGGCCCCTTTGGAGCTGCTCTACTCTTGAAGTCAGCACAGCACTTAACAGGGAGGTGGGACCAGCGAATGGTGTAATGGTTACATCACTGAACTCCCACATGGCTGACTGCGGTTTGAGTTCCGGACCTGGTGGCTTGAAAACTCGCTGGTCACATTTGCATGCATGCCCAAAATCCTGAGAGGAGAATGGAGAAGAAGGGATTACAGCATGGCCACCCCCCCCCTCCCCTGGGGGCGGTGTGATTGTTCAATTTCTGTCTCTGTATCTCTCCAGCAAGTGCATGTACCCTATAGCAAAAATCTGTTAAGAAAGAAAGAAAGAAGAAAGAAAGAAATGTCTAAAGAACTGAGCCCTTAGGATTTGTCTTTTGCCATTCATTGAAGGTTGCAAGAAAGTGAGGCTTTCGCATTTTCAGAGTGTGTGTGTTTAACGGCTACAGATTACGTTTAATAGGAACTTTGCTTGCAAGAAGGTGGAATTTGGATTTCTCCCAGAGTTCTGGCCAGAGACTTTCCAGAATTCTTTTGCTTCTGTGTAAAATCCAAAAAATTTGCAGGTTTTTTTTTTTTTGAGGGAACAATGAAGTAATAATAATTGTAAGTCAAGTGAAATGGGAAATGCTTTAACAGGAATGTTTTATTGACTCTGCTCCTGTTTCTAAGATAACTTATATGGTGAGAACACTGCTTTAGTAAAAATGGCACTGTATTGGTTACGTGAAGTCCTGTCCCTCCTCCTTCAAATCCACTGACAGAAAGGTCCCTCAGCTCTTGGGGTTGGTGATGACGGCTGTGGTGGAGTAAGAGTAGGGGCTGAGCAGCGCCGCGATGGTGTAGTGGCGGGGACCTGAGTCATTTGCCGAGAACGCCACCTAAGAAAGAAAACAGGCAAGATCTATTTTTTAGGTTTTTTTTTTTTTTTTAATGGTCATAGGGCACGTGCACTTGCTGGCAAGAGACAGAGGGAGACGAAGAGAAGGAAAGTAAAAATTCATCCCTGAGGGAGAGAGCCAAGCCACAATCCCTTCTCCTCCATTCTCCTCTTGGGATTTTGGCCACACGTACACACATACCTGGTGTGATTTTCAAGCTGCTGTGTCCAGGACTTGAACTGCAGCCGTCTGTGTGAAAGTCCAGTGCCTTAACCACCATGCCACCTGCTGGCCCCCAGGATCCATTTTGAATGGAGCCCCCCCAAAGAACAAGCAAGCCACAGGCAGAGAGATCACTGGAATTCTAGCACCAAAGTAATTGTTTCTATTTTATTATTTCATTTTTTCGAACAGTTTGAGCCCAAAGCAAAAATCCAGATATGCTAGCCAGCTAAGCCCTGGAGTCTCACACAGTCCTCAGAAAAGTTCTTCATGACTGCCTGTGTAATTAGGTCTCTTGTTTCGGTCACACTAGAAGTCAGGGTGGCCCTAGCTTCACTGAAGAAATCACGGAGCCTGAAGATGCATGTCTTATCTTGGATTTAGACAAAAGGGGGAGGGGCCTAGAAACTGGCCTTTCAGGACTGCCTTGGGGTGGTGATGCTGTGATACTCCATGATGCTGAGGCCACATGGGGAGCCCTGGCTCACGCCCTGAGGTCTCCCTGGACACACTGGCTGTGTGCACATGCCCATGGTCCTGGATGACTGAGTGACTGAGGCTGGGGAACGGTAATGGAGTGACGACTCTGTTGGGGTGCTTCCCTTTATCTCTCTTATGGAAGAAAGAAGAACAGTTTAAAGAGGAGGAGGAGGAGGAGGAGGAGGAGGAGGAAGAAGAACAGAAGAAGAAGAAAAGAAAGAAAGAGAGGGAAAAAAAAATCAGCATCCCATGACTGAACACTTGCTGAGAATGGTGGCTTAGGGAGCCAGAATTGTAGAGATAGAAGGGAATGTTTTGCAGATAAGCACACCAGACTTCTGAATTTGTGTTTTATTTTAGTTTATCAAGTGGCAGAGCTACAGTGGGAAGGTGAGTCTCCTGTCTCCAAGTTGAGATTCTTCTCCCATGTTCCTTTGCATTGTCTGACATGAAGAGCAAGTATACACACACACACACACACACACATATATATATACATATATATATATATACATATATATATATATATGTATATATATATGTAGCATATGACAAGAAATATAATATGAATTGGGCCAGTTGGTGGCGTAGGGTTAAGGGGGCTGGATCCCACATGGTCAACTGCATGGGTCAAGGCCTGGACACAGTGACTTGGAAAAGGTGCAAGGCACATGTCCATGCATGTTCAGAAACCCAAAGGGAGAATGGAGAAGGGATTACAGTATGGCTATCCTCTGTGTGTGTGTGGGGGTGTGTGTGTGTGTGTGTGAGTGCTTTCTCACTTTCTCTCTCACTCTCTCTGGTGAGTGCATGTGCCCTCTAGGATAAAAAAAAGATGGCAGTGTTATTGGGTTCTGTTTACAATACAAGCGGAGTATTGGAAATCTGAAATAGGCACCCTATGCATTAGAGATCATTTAAGCTTTCTAATTGTGTAAATTGGGGGTCAAGGTGTTGCTCCACTTGGTCACATGTTTCTCTTAAACTTAGTAGAGCATGTGGGACTCAAGTGCTGGGACAGCCTAGGTCCCTGAAGGAAGGCAAGTTGGGATAAATTCGGCCAAGGAGAGAAATGGGGGACAGTGTTTGGATGTGTTTGATTTTACTTATTTTGTATACAGGTTCTGGGTTGAATTTTGGAGACAGTCTGGATAAATATATTTTTGGTCTCAATTTGAAAAAAGGAAGCTTGGATTACTTAGTGACAGGAGGAAATAAGATCTGAGCAAAACCACACTAACAACAAAAATAACACCAGGGCAAGAAGAAGTGAGACTCGTCTAAGAATCTCTCTGAAGGAGAAAGGGTGCTCCTGAAGGTTAAATTCATGGAAAGAGCAAGTTTCTTATTTTTTATGGTCACATTGGCCTCCAGCCCCACTTGATTCTTTCCATAAATTGTAAAAGGCATAAAACGTAATTGAAAATCTATGAAGAAAAGAGGGTAATATAGTTCAAAAACAATTTCCCAGTGGTCCTTGGTAAAGCCAAAGGGTCAATGGCCCATTGACCCTTTGGGATAGGGGGTGACTAGCTCCGAAAGAATTTAAGTTCTGGGGGGTCCTCATAGAAGCTACAGGAAAGGAGCTCATCATGGCTGAGCCTACCTCACACCAACTATTGAAGTGGGCCTTGGGACTCACATGCCACTACTCCCTCTCTCGTTCCCCCTGTCCATTCAGCTCTGAGATGGGCTCATAGTCCTGCCTAATACGTCTCAGATCAGTCCCTGCCTTTCCATTCTAAGGGCAGGAATGTTTTTATTTCTGAGTCTCCAGCATCTAGTAGAGTGCTCAACACATAGAAGGTTTTTTATTTTAAAAACATCTGTTGTGGGACCAGCAGTTGGCCTAATGGCTATGTTGCTGGACTCCCATATAGTCAACCACGGTTTGAGTCCCAGACCCAGTGGTTTAAACTCATGTCAGGTGTGTGTGTGTGCGTGCCCAGGATCCCGGGAGGAGAATGGAGGAGAAGGGATTGCGGCATAGCCATCCCCCCTGGAGGTGATTTCTTGTTTTCTGTCTTTCTGGTGAGTGTACACACCCTATAGCTAAAACCCCTAAAATTTTTTTGTTGTTGTTGAATAAATACTAGAAGACTGAGCAGAAGATAAAGAAGCTAAAAACTAATGAATGGGTATAACACATCAGGGGCAGGATGGCAGTGAATTTCTTCAGATGATCCCATCAGGCTGGGGCCCAGGCCAGATGAGGGTCCCAGGAAGCTGATCCTGTGCTCAAAGGCAGAAGCTGAGACCCCAGGGGCAAGTGTCTTGTGGAAGGCAGCATTTAAACCCTGCACTGGAACTGACTGGACTCCATGTCTTTCTGCCTGGTGGAGGACTAGCCAGAGACATGCTTCTTAGTAGATGGAGCTTCGTTGGTGACTCATGGCCCCAGAAGCCAAAAGACCCTACAGTTTCCCTGGTAACATTTTCTTTTAAAAGAACCATTTTATGTCAATTCAAAGTCTCATCCATGACGATATTAAAAAGAATGGTGTCTTTCATGCTGAGCTAATTTTGGTGGACTTAGTTGATCTTTAACTCTGACCAGCATGTCTGGAGTCTATCTCAATAGTAGTGCTCTGTTTTTTTTTTTTTTTTTTTTTTTGGGGGGTTTTTTCTTTGGG